CATACCATCTCTGGCCAAGTCAAGGCCGAGGATCATTTAATCCTTACCTTAGACGAGGGTGGTATGGAAGAGGTCCCATATAGTCAAATAGGACAGAGGAGGAGGACAGTGGCAATGGTCATGGGAGGACTTATGCTGCTGTCGCGACTGAAGGGAGGCCTCAAGGAAGAGGAGGAGGCCGGGGCCAAGGGGGCCGGGCCTCCGGTGGTCGAGGACAAAGCGATCAGGGGGTTGGCGGTAGAGGTAATCGCCAAGAGGGGGGCAGGGGTCTAGGTCCCCCGCAAAACCGCTCTCGTTTCGACCGATCACCTCCCAGGAGGGTTGAATGGCACCCTGGCCTGGCGCAAGGCAGACCTTGGGAATCGTTGAGACTATAACAGACTTTGTGGCAGAGAAGAATAAACGCAGATCAGTGGCACATCATTAAATACTGCCCCCAATATAGAGAAGCTCGGCGAGCTGCTACAGAGGCAGCAAAAGGCAACCGCCGGTAGGGGTTGCAACTGCCCTTACCCCTTAACCATGTGGAGAAAAGTGCGCGCACCACAAAGAAACTCCCAAACCACATGCGTCTATGGCAGAGGTTGCTGGCCAGTGTCTAGGTAGTTGTCTAGAGACTGTTGTGTTAGAGTCTCTTTAGGCACTTCCCTCACAGGCCTGGCAAAGGAGCTGAAGGAGAGGATGCCGGCCTGGGCCAAGATGAAGAAAGATGGTAAAGGACAACTAGTTTTAGTAGATGTAGAAGTTTTCAGAGGACGAGCAGGGGCCCTAATAGATAGTGGGGCCACTAGTGGTTATATTAGCAAAAAAACGCTGCAGAAGCTGAAGCTTAATGTAAAGGTCCAAAAGTTAGAAGACCTTATAATCAGTATCCTCGCCGACAATCGCACCATGCGAGTCGAGGATTATGTCGAGGGAGTCCACGCATATTTCTGCCTAAAGAAAGATGGGAAGGTAGAGAGAGTTCTTCATTCCCTGACTCTCCTCGTAGAGGACAACCTTCCATTCAATATGGTCCTATGAATGGACTAGGGAGAGGCAGCAAGGGCCACACTCCATCTGAGAGAGCATGAGTGTAGGCTCCCTAGCCCATCAGACGAAGTTAGACTTCGCGCCTGTTCCATGTGTTAGGAGTAGATAACCCTCTGGCACATTGTTGTCTCAGTGCTCCCTCATTCATGCGATTAGTGAAGGAGTAATTAGAAGAACATGTTTTTGTAGCCTATGTTAGGCCCGTCACTGAGCCTAAGGGGGAGGAACCAAATAACCCAGTTATTGTCAATGCTGATTTGTCTAAGCCGCCTACAGGAGTAGTACCGTCTGGCAGTAGGACTCCTAAGGGGGCCATCTATAGAATGTCCCCAAGGGAGCTAGAGGAGTTGCTCAATCAGTTAAGGGTTGGATTAGGCCCAGTTCATCTCCGTTTGGAGCACCTGTTCTGTTTGTCCCCAAGAAGGAGGGAGAGTTTCGAATGAGCATTGACTATAGGGGTCTTAATGTCGTCACCGTAAAGAATGCAGAACCACTGCCCCGTATAGATGATCTGTTAGATCGGGTGCAGGGTTGCAAGTACTTCTGTAAGATAGATTTAAAGTCTGCCTATCATCAGATAGAGGTGCATCCTGATGATCAGTATAAGACGGCGCTTCGGACTAGATATAGGCACTCCGAGTTTACTGCGATGCCCTTTGGACTAACCAACGCGCCAACCACGTTCCAGCGTTGCATGAACGCTTTGTTAAGGGCATGGTTAGATAAATTTGTAGTTGTATATCTAGATGACATTCTAGTATTTAGCAAGACCCTCCTCGAGCATGAGAGTCATCTGAGGCAGGTCTTGGAAAAGTTGAGAGAAACTAATTTCAAGATCAACGCGAAGAAGTGCGAGTGGGCCAAGACGCAAGTTTTGTACTTGGGTCACATCTTAGATGGAGATGGCATAAAGCCTGAGGACAATAAGATAGCAGCGATAAGAGATTGGCCAACACCCTGCACATTGACAAAGTTGCGGTCGTTCCTAGGCCTGGCAAACTACTATAGGAAGTTCGTGAGGAACTTCTCTACCATCGCTGCACCCCTCCGCAGATTGCTAAAGAAAGAAGCAATCTAGGAGTGGGATAGAGATTATACGTCGGCCTTGAAGAAGCCAAAGCGGGCCTTGATAGAGTACCTAGTCCTCAAGGTAGCCGATCCATCCTTGGCTTTTGTTGTTACCACTGACGCAAGTCAGTATGGTATAGGTGTTGTCTTACATCAAGATGATGCCAATCGGTATAAACCCGTAGAGTTCATGTCTGCTAGGATGCCTTCAAAGAAAGTAGCGACATCTACCTAAGAGAGCGAACGCTACGCTCTTAGGCAAGCATTAGACCCTTGGAAGCATTACTTCCTTTGGAGGCACTTCAAAGTCTATCCACGAGACGTTAAGGTGGCTGAAGACTCAGGCCAAGATGACGCCTAAGCTTACTAGGTGGGCCATAGAGATAGACCAATTTGACTTTGAGCTCAAGCCAGTCAAAGGAAAATACAATGTAGTCGTGGACGCTCTGAGTAGAAGAGCTGATTACTTAATAGCAATAGTACATTATTTGGACATTGGGAGAGACCTGCAACAGAAAGTCAAAGAGGCGTATGCGCAAGACCCTATTTATAGTGACCTCTTCAAGAGAGTTAAGGAGGCCCCAGAGACTGAACCAGATTACTGCACTACAGATGGACTGTTGTTTGAGAAGACTAATGTAGCTGATCGATTATGCATCCCCAATAGTGAAGAGATTCGTAGTCTCATCTTAGGGGAATGCCACGACACAGAGCGACATTTTGGTTGGCAGAAGACATTAGCCAACCTTATTCGAGCGTATACGTGGCCTGGCATGAAGGTCGACTGCATAGAGTATGTACGCACTTGTAAGGTGTGCCAACGAAACAACACCACTACGCGAGTCCCTCCTGGTCTTCTCAGACCCTTGCCTATTCCTACAGGACCCGGAGATTCTGTGTCCATTGATTTTATGGATGCTGGGGTCAGGAGTAGGCATGGCAAGAGCCAAGTCATGGTTGCAGTCGATAGATTTAGCAAATACGCGATTTTTTTTCCTTTGCCTGCAGAGGCACGAATGGATTTCGTAATAGACAAGTTCTTTGATCATTGGGTCAGTGAGCATAGTCTACCGGTGTCGATCGTTAGTGACAAATATACCAGGTTCACTAGTCAGAAGTTCAGAACTGGCAGGAACTGATGAGAGTCTACGGCTCTAAGTTGCTGATGTCGTATGGCCGTCATCCAGAAACTAACGGTCGGACTGAACAAATGAACAAGATCCTGCAACAAGCTCTAAGTTGCTGATGTCGTCTGGCCGTCATCCAGAAACTAACGGTCGGACTGAACAAATGAACAAGATCCTGCAACAAATTCTTAGGATGTACATTAGACCCGATCAAGTCAACTGGGACAAGATGCTCCCAAAGGTAGCCAGTGCGTACAACAATAGTGTACACTTAGCCACTTGTCGCACTCCCAACGAGCTACATAAGTCCTTTAGACCGCGCAGACCGTTTGAGGAACTGAACCGGGATCAGATCCAGAGGCTACTGCCTGGTACAAGGGAGTTCACATTACAGCACGAGAAAGAGATAGCTACCATGGTAGAGAACCTCAAGAAGGCCCAGCACAAGATGATAGAACAAGCCAACAAACACCGTCGTCCATCATAGTTCCAAGTCGGCGACTTAGTCTCGGTCAAGTCGAACGAGAGGTAAAGGTCGTCCACAGAAACAGTATAAAGCCAGATTCTCTTTTCAAGAACCAGACGACGACCGCTGGTTCACACCAACAGAGCTTCTAGAGACCGCTCCCGATGTAGTTCGAGCCTATGAGAGAGATAAGAAAGGTAAAGGTCCTGCCTTGGACTGAAGTATTCTCGGAGGACCTCGAATTTAGGCCGGCGAGAGTGAAACGTTTTTCACCTTTGTAGTAGCAGATGCAGATCCCAGGGCTCGATCCCTAGACCTTACCCCACCGTGTACAGTATCAAGTCGACCGTGTGTGTTTGAACCCGCGACCTGTGTCTTGGTAGTTGACTGATGCCTGTCGTAGGTCTATGTAGTTGTCGGGTTTCGATCCGTAGGTCTGTTGAGTAGGGGTCACGGCTGTGTAGGGGTCATAGTTGTTGCAACTTTGAAAGGTCAACGTCGTAGCTGCTACAGTCTTGAAAGGTCAAGGTCGTAGCTGCTACAGTCCCGAAAGGCCCGGAAGGTCCGGAAGCGGTCTTTCGAGTGTTGTCCAGCGTAGGACTGAGGCAAGTGGGCAAGTGGGTAGTCCAACTTTGTCAAGTGAGCGGTACCCAGTCCCAGTCGCACTTTGTCCCGTCAGCAGGTACCATTTGGGACAGTGTGCACCCTGGGCCCGTTGGAAAGGAGCAGACCAGTGATCAACAGAAGTATAAATCACAAGAGGCAGCGTCCAGCCATTCATTCATTCTGCGTGAGCCATGCGGAAGCGCTGCCCGAGCGTCTTGTGCAAGGTGGTCTGCAGATGCCCGAAGTCGAAGTGGGCTGCGAGGGAGATAGGGCGGCCATCGCTGATTGTAGTTAGCTGGTAGAAGGTGGCCATAGCTGCCATAGTTAGCGTTAGTTAGTAGCAAGTGTGTGTGTGTGTGTGTGTGTGTGTGTGTGTGTGTGTGTGTGTGTGTGTGTGTGTGTGTGTGTGTGTGTGTGTGTGTGTGTGTGTGTGTGCGGTACAGCGTGAGAATGTGTGGGACATCCAGGGAGATCCGGAGTAGAGTGTGTGTGAACAGTCGCTGTGAATACAGAGTCGGATGGGTGAAGTGTAGGCGCTCAAGAGCCATAGCCAATTTGAAGTGAGTTTGTATCTGAACTGTGTTCTCAGCCTTAATATCTCTGAGTTTGGTGCGGGCGCCTGGCGCCAGTGTGGATGGCCATCTGTTTGCATGCATGTGGAATAAGAAGGAATACGAGTCCCATTGCAAATCAAACAGTACCTTCGCAAATCATCCAGCTTCGACTCGGCTGGCTCACACATTTTCCTGCAAAACAGAGAAACCACCAACCACAAAGACACTTTAAAAGAATCGTGACTTTCAATTTCGAAGCCACTTGTAAGCTACAGCCTACAGGCAGTGAAGGATTGCGGATTGACAAAAAATGAAATGTGGTGTTGGACCACTGGACAAATCCACCGGCTACTTTACCTTGTTCTTCGCAGCGGTGGCTATCATTAGTAATTAGTAATTATTATCATTACTAGATGACCGGTTGCAGCTTCGCCCGCAAAAACAGAAAAAGAAAAAAACACAAAAGAAAGAAAATGCATAAGGAACTGCCCTATCATATGCCGCTTCTTTCACAATAAGAAAAAGAAGAGCCTGAGAGCAGACGAAAACCCGCGTGCAAGAAAATAGCAGGGAATACCACCGAACATTCTTTTTTCTTTATCTTAGCGTGTTTTGTTTGGGGAGCCGTTACCTTTGCAGCATCGTTTCTGTTTGTGCAAGAACTCTGGACTTTTCTGAGAAAATCCAGTCCGTTGTCCTGTTGATGTTTTTGGTAAAGATTCAGAATCAGACTTTGTTTGCTGTGTTCTCTGGATATGTTTGTGATCAAGCGATCTTGCACGTATGTATGCCCCGTGCTTACTTGAAGAACCTTTGACCTCCCCCTCAGCCACCGACTTCCTCCTAATCCTCATCGACTCCCCCATCTCTCTCTCTCTCTCTCTCTCTCTCTCTCTCTCTCTCTCTCTCTCTCTCTCTCTCTCTCTCTCTCTC